CGCCGGCCTCTCCCACTGGCCTCACGGTCGGACGCCTTGCAAGACCAATTGGTTACTTTCCCCTAACTCTGTAAACAATACACTGCTACGTCTACTCTGCCTTCCCAAGACTTCTCCCATCTCCTAAGGAACTAGGGTCTAGAAGATTGTAGGTGTTAGGGTTAACCGCCTTAGCCTTAACTCCTATAAACTCCTTACTGCTGTCTCAGTTGGTTATGGCTACAAGCGAAGTCATGGCTAGTGTTGACTGCTCCTAGTCATGCCTGAGAGAGTCTGAGACGGTGGTAGCAGCTGCTTAAGTAGGATTGCGGAGCAGGTTTAAGTGTTCTGCAATTGGTGCCTGCGACTGTACCCGAGGGTTTTCGTGTCTAGTGGCGTAGGCTGTGTTGGCCTAAGGTGGGGAAGGAAAATGCTCACATGGCGTTTGGGCAGCCGACACTACCTGGACGCACGTTTGTGGAAGTCGCTCGAGTATCTGCAGTTCAGCGCGTCTGAAAGTGCGTACTGAGATATTGAATGACCTTGAGAAATTGCCTGAGCAAGAGAATCAGTCACGTGGGAAAGGCCGGGCCTAGCAAACTATGGACGACAGCGAGCATAATTTTCGCGCAATTACCAAGCGCGCACCCAACACAGACAAGGAACTTGTGGCAATTAATGAGTCGAAGGCGAAGTTTCAAGCCATCATTGCAACAATTAAGACCCCAAACGGTGACCACAAGAGACGGGCAGATAATTATAGTACGCACACGGATGACCGCTACGAACTATAAATACCGTGCAATCTGTGCGTGTTTCACCCTTATCTGCGCATGGCTCCGACTATCTTACTATTACCTAGGATTAAAAATTCCCGACGGAATCCGAAACTTCAGAAAAATTAAACTCTTGTTCCACTAGTCGCATCTTCTTCTTCTGACCTTGGGATATTTGACCTTGAACAAGGAAGCCGCACAAAATTGTTGGCCGCCCACCACATGACCTTCGTTTATGTTTTGAATTACGCAATGACAG